AGAATTTTGTTTTCTTTATTTTAAGGTATATTCCATACTGAAGGCTGTAGTCTTTGATTTTCATCAGTAAGTGCTTCAAGTTCTCTTTGCTTTCAGTAACTAAAGGTGTGCATCTGCATGTCATGGGTTGTTCTTAATGAGTCTTCCTCCAATCCTGATGCTGCATTCTTCTTCATATAGTCTAGCTTCTTGGATTATTTGCTCAGCTTATGATTGAATAAGTGTGATGAAAGACTACAACCCTGATGTACATATTTCCTGATCCAAAACCATGCAGTATCTCATTGTTCTGTTTGAATGACAGCTTCTTGGTCAATCAATGTACAGGTTCCACATGAGCACAATTAAGTGTTCTGGAATTTCCATTCTTCACAATGCTATCCATAATTTGTTAGGACCCACACAGTCGAATGTCTTTGCATATTCAATAAAACACAGGTAAACATCTTTCTGATATTCTCTGCTTTTAGCTAAGATCCATCTGATAGGAGCAATGGCATCCCTAGTTCCACATCCTCTTCTGAATCCAGCTTGACTTTCTGGAAGTTCCCTGTCCATGTACTGCTACAACTGTTTTTAAGTTATCTTCACAAACAGTTTACTTGCATGTGATATTAATGATGTTGTTTGGTAATTTCAACATTCTGTTGAATAACCATTCTCTGAAATGGGCACAAATATAGGCATATCAAAAGATACAGAAAAATATATAGTATCAAAAGATATAAAAGTTTCAAAAATAAAATAAGGCTGAAAATAGGGAACCAGAGACATCAATTGGTAAATGATGGCAACTACAAAGTGAAAAGAGGAAATAAATGGTATAGTTCCAAATGGAAAGAAAATAAAAATGATATCAAGAAAGAATGAACCATTTTACACTTGGTATCTTGGTTCCCTAGTGCTTCCATAACAGTTTACCACAAGTGGATGGCTTTAACAAATAAGAATTTAGGTCACTAGAAGTCCAAATTCAGAGTGAAGGCTCCTTGACCTTGGGCTTCAGCTCTTGTTCCAAGCCCA